CACTCGGTGGTAAGCAGTAAAGCTGTCGGGTTATTCCAGCTGCCTTGTGGGCCCACGCTCTCTGCCACTACACTGTACAGACTCTTTTGGATGGAAATTAAAAAGTACATGTTGAGTGTCTCTACATGCTCTGTGTTGGCCGTGACATATTGCCTATATTCAAGAAACTTTCAATCTCCATTTTGTTTTTCACTAAGGAAACTGCAATTGGATAGTTTTGCTCATGTGACCGCTCTTACCTAAAAATGTTAAAAAATGCACTTTTTATTTATTTTCCACCTTTGAAACTGTCCTCAATGTCCTGGGGTGGCTCAATGGATTGAGCATTGTTCCCATGGACTGAGAGGTCCAGGTTTGATTCCTGGTCAGGGCACATGCCCAGGTTGCAGGCTTGATCCCCAGCAGGGGGCATGTGCAGGAGGCAGCCAATCAATGTTTCTCTCTCACATCAATGTTTCTCTCTCACATCAATGTTTCTCTCTCCCTCCTTCCTCTCAGTCTAAAAAAAAAGTTTTTTTAATCTCTCAATGTTCCAAGTTGGAATTAGTTTTTCATGTGTGGTTGACAGCCAAAATAACCACAATCAGTCACTCCTTCCTTTTACATTTGTGCTTTGTAATGTGACTTTTCTGTACCATCTATCAAGAAATGATATCCCTATCTATTTCCCTATCTCTTAAATCTAAATTGGACGTGTGACTTGCTTTGGCCCAGAGATGTGGCAGAAGGGATGGTGTACTAGCTCTGAGGTGAGGCCTCAGGGGCCTGGAGTACTTCCTTCTCTAGGGAACCCTAACACCATCATGTGAACCAGATGAGTCGAGCCCTGTGAAGGATGAGAGACCACATGACGACAGCTCCATCAGCCAGGTTGTCCCAGCTGCAGCCCCAGCCACGTGAGAACCCAGCCAAGATCAGCAAAGCCAAACCTCTGCCGAGCTTTGTGGCACATGGAAGCCTGGTTGGCACCCAAGGAAATGCCCAGCTGAGTCCAGCCTAAATGCCAGTTACATTGTCATAAGCTAAATAAATAGTCATGTTAGGCCACTAAGCTTGTTATGAAGCAAAAGGTAAGGACACAAATCCTTTGTACTCTTCTGGCATTTCAAAACTATTTTTGGAAAAGTGTATATATTTGCTAAATGTTTACTGAACAAATGAATGAATAAATGATTAAATATTCAATTACAGGGAGATAGAATTTTCCTAACAGAACTCTGGCTTTTATTTTGAGGTGAATAGCTCTATCTTTCCCGGCTGTGAAACAGAGGTGTTCAGCACAGGGTCTGATGCTTACCAGGCATACTCCATAAACCTTAGCTCTCCTTAAGCCTATCGGTGAACCAAAATGCCCCGCCCCCAACCCTCCAACCCCCGAAAATAGAAGCCAAAGCAAACACTGGGGCACTGAGGCATGGGGCAGATTTTCTCTAAAACTTTCAAAACCAGGATGAAACTCTTCTGGTGTTGGTGAGGTGGAGATTTAGGGTCAAGAACGTGCTTTTCTTTCTTAATATTGGCAAACTTCTTGCTTTTTGAAATGGCCCATAGCCTCTTCAGTGCCCCAGCCTCCCAGAGTGGGAGAATTCTGCTATAGAAAGACCATCCTGGGAGGCATTCCCACTCATCCACAATGCGAGCAGTTCTCAACTTGGGCTGCATATCAGAAACACCGGGGAGTTTTAAGAAGTGCCTCCAGAGATGGGCTTAATTAGTTTGGGGTACAACCTGCACAGGGGGACTTTTAAAAGCCCTTGGAGTAATTTTATGGACTAGTCAAACTTAAGAACCACCATTCAACCCTCCCTAGAGTGTTTCTACTGGTCCAGTGGTTATTATTGTGATTAACTTTGAAGGCAGACCTAAGTAGAGTTTTTTTTTCTATACGCCTGTAATCAAAACACAGCACACAGATACTATAGCTAGGGAATATAAGAAGTATAAACACAACACAGAAAGTATCTTCTTATAATAGACAATGGCTGGCTCAAAGGGAATGAAAAAGGATACCTGAAACTCATAACATATTGCAAGTCAATGGTAATTAAAAAATAAAATAAGAAATTTAAAAAAGGAACTAAGAAATAATTATCAGATAAATAACTTTCTGATAATTAACTCAGCAAGCATAACACAAACACATGGTGGGTTTTAAATATCTCAAAGACCTTAAGCATAATTAGGTATTCAAAATTTTATTGTCCTAAATTAAAATACCACAGAACACAGTACATTAAATAAAATATTCAAACTAAATTATATTGAAGTGTATAAATTAAAAGCACATTAACCTAAGAGCTTTGTTTGAAAATGTATCTTATATGAATGATAACACTTTATCACAAACTAAGGTATAATTCAGTATTTTCATATAATTTTGAGGTCAGATTCAGTGTGGGCAATTAAAAAACTTGTGGTCTTGTCTTAATGCATAAATGACTCTCACATGGCAACACTATTATTTTCAGGGGCTATTTCTTTTTTGGCAGAGTTCAAAAGTATTGAAAAAGGAATAATCTTACGCTGTAAACTATATAATCACGCAAAATGCTTTGGTGCCAAGACTTCATCTTCAATCACTGTCATAGCTGCCATCACAAACAGACCTCCAACATCTATTTGGAAAGTCAGAATTTTCCAAACCATAGATCCTCTGCGGGGAAAATGTGGTTTGACCGTCTGATTTCACAGCAATAGAAAGTGAAGCGCCGGGAGGTTGAACAAGTCAAGCAAAGCTCCAGACACTGGGTGGCTGGGAACTGAGCCCAGCGTGCCGGAGCCCGCAGCCGCGCCGCTCTGGAGACGGGCACAGGGTGAGGGCGGCGCGTGCTCAACCCCCACACAAACACTGGCTGGGGCGTCTGCCCCGAATTTTGCCAGCCTCTGCTACAGATGGCTGTGTTCATAGAGGGCCTTGGCAACCGGGAAAATTGGTGTCACTTTCTATTCTAATTCTTATCACAAAACAGGCTGGAATCCATTCTAGTCATTTAATACAGTAGTTATAAATACAGTTACTGTGTTTTTTCCTAGCCTATTATCAACTTTTTACATTAATATGGTACATTTGTTCCAATTAATGAACCAATATTGGTACATTATTATTAACTAAACTCCATTACTTAATTCAGATTTCCTTAACTTTTGCCTAATATCCTTTTTGTTTGTTTCATGATGCCATCTGAGATACCACGTTACATGTAGTTGGCTCTCTTTTCATTAGTTCAACACTGTGTGTGTGTGTGTGTGTGTGTGTGTCAGAGAGAGAGAGAGAGAGAGAGAGAGAGAGAGAGAGGAAGAATATAAATATCTCAAATCTCTCTCTTCTTTTCAGCCAACATAAGGCAAAATCCTACAAATTACTGTTCTCATATTCTCTGATGTAAAAGAAAAGGGCATACGCTAATGAAGCAATTCGGAGTTTTAATTAAGAGACATATATTGTGAATAAGAGGAAAATACTGACATTTGGAAGCACCTAGAAACATGGACTCTGATTTGTGGGGTGGAGTCATCTGACAATTTAGGGTAACCAGAGGCAGTTCCCACAGAGCTGTAGCAATGCAGAAGAAAGAAGTGATATTGTGCAATTTGTCAGCATTTACATTAGGGGAGTCAGTATTTTTAAGATCCACAGAAATGCAGTTAGAGTTTCCTTGCCAATATTTGTATAAAACATTTGCCAAACAAGATTGATTCATCTTACTCTGAAATGAATTGTTAGATCACAACAGAGAATGTTAGAGTTTGCATCCCTTATAGACATGCCAAACGTTTGACTCTGCGTGGCGCTGTACTATAAATAGGAAAATCCAAACGCTAAAAATGTTCTGAGTTGCCAAACATAGTTCTTTGGCATCTACTTCCTAGTCCCAATGACTCAGTCTTCTGAACTTTAAAGCGAAAGCTACAATTCACAGAGCAGTGCTGCCGCGGACGCCAATTAACTAAAGGCAACCGATATTCCATTCCTGTATATTTCGTTGTCCTTAGCTCACATCGACTGAAACGCTTCCTTAGACTTTCACTGAAGTTTTACTGACGACTGGCTGGATGGAGCTGAAGGGTCCCAACGGGAGCTTCTTGGTTTCTCCTCTGTATGAGGTCTCCTGCCCTGACGTTAGGGTCTCTCATCTCTCCTTTTCTTAAAACACCACTACTCGAGGGATGTTGGTAGACATTTCTTCCCCCCTGTTGAGGAAACTATATTCTACATCTAGCTTTGGAGAGTCTCAAGAAAATTCTGAGAAACCTACAACAAGCAAGTCAATTTAATTTTGTTTAACTTATGTCTCCCAAACATATCTGACCACAGGTAAAAGCTTTTTTCTCTTTTAGGGGCATGGTGGGGAGCTGCAGTCATTAACACCCCCCCCCCGAACAACTGGGGACGTGCTGGGTTAAGACAAGGCCCCCAGAAGGCAGTGGTCTCCGTCCCATGGCACGGGGAGGGAAGAATGGTCAGGCGTCCATCTGATTGACACATCAGATGAAGAGGGGCAAGCTGGGCAACACCACCAGCCTCAGGACCTTCGTAGGTCAAGAGGTCCAGGACCCACACACTGAACAAGGTGTGAGGAAAGGGCCAGCGATCACTGTCAGCCCCTCTGCAGAGCTGCTGGGGCGACCCGTTGCAGGCATGCGGCACAGCACAGTGCCGCGTACAGCTGTGGGCTGAGGTGTCTGGGATCCTGTGTTTACCATGCAGCAGTAGTCTGTACCCACTGGGCGTTCTCGGACAGAAATGGCAAAGTCTGCTTCCGCAGACAGAGAGTACACCGTTCCCAAACCGACAATGGAACACGGTGTGTGTACTTGTGTGGGGACAGCAGTGTGTTTCTAGATCCCAAGGGGATGTGACAGTCAGGCAAGCTCTGGTGTGGTACAGGAGGCATCCGTGGTGGGCACACAGAGCCCCAACCCTAGACCCTGGTGCAGACGACCTCAGTGCCAATGCAGTCCACCCTACCCGCCTGTGGGAACTTACAGCCGTTACCCACCTCTCTGAGCTCGTCTCCTCGTCAGGACAATGGGAATACTACTACTACTAGCAGTACCGGGGTAGTCAGGTTGGGTGAACGGTCTACTGTTTGCGAAGTGCTCAGGCCGGTGTTTGCCTCGACGCAAGCCCAATCTCAGCGTCTGTGGAATGAAACTGTCATCAGTGCTCCCTCCAGTTTCCCTCTGTCCCTGTTTCCTTTCACAACAGACACGAATGACATGTGACACTCGCTCCCCCTTTCAGACGCCAGGCCTGACGGGTTACAAGGATGCAAATGTCCAGAGCGGGCACTCTGTTTAGAGGCACACATTGACTCAGCTGCCTGGGAGCCCCCTCCCCACTTCCAGGCGGGCTGTGGGAGCTAGACTGTCACCAGCACATTTAATAATCAGGCCTCATGGACAGAGGTCACTGTGGGTTCCCGCAGAAGAGGAACAAGAAGGCCGGACAGGGCAGGGCTACCAGAGTCACAGATGGGCCCAAGGTCATTTTGCAAACTGTCCCCAGTCTCCAAGGAGCCCTGGCGGGAGCCGCAAAGACTGACCCCACTTCTCCTTACCCTCCTGGCCAGCCTTTAACCTGGTTGCTAAAAATAATCAAATAAAAATGGCTTTAAAGCCAGACCAAACAAATGTATCAAACAGATCGAAACAATAAAGGAAAAGGTTTGGTAACATCCTGGTTAATTTTTCTTGTGTTTTTTTTTTTTTGGTGTTTACTTGAAAATATCATCATATACTTATATTTTATACATTTGAAAAGGTTATACAAATACATCCTTAAAAACGTCATCAAACACATGATAGAAAACTGAGAAATGGAAAACGGCGCGGTAGACGCGTGCCCGGCGCCACCGTGACGGAGTACAAGGTCGGCTCGGGCAGGAAGGCGAACCTTTCGCAGGCCACACACAGCTGAAAGTGAGCAGTAATCCATGACCCACGGGCTCTGACACCATGACACCTGGAATTTTAAAAATGTCATCATTGATGTAAATAATTGTTGTAAAGCCATGCAGGGAGTCCTTCAGACTACAGCCGAGATTGGGGAAGAGGATACTCTCTGAGTATACGGACCAGAGGCCCTTGCACTTGGCTGGGGATGGCCTCAGTGCACCTGCTCTGGGGCAGCCTGCAGCCTGGCCACATTCTCTGCTTCACTAAGAATCGTACATCCATGCACGTGCACACACATGCACAGGAAGTCCCCAGGCACCTGGGAACATCAGGGACCATGGCATCTCGCAGCTCCTGTGCTGGGGTGGGGAGGGCGGGTGGCAGGGTGCAGGCAGTGCCCTCAGCGGCAGAAACAAGGGCCTCAGCCTGGGTTCCCACTTCCGCTGGTGCAGTTTCCAAGGCCAGATTTTCACAAGGTTTTGACCCTTTACTTCTGCACTTGCTGCCTTTCAAGTGCTAAACACCTGGGACGTGGCACCCCCATACCGTGCCCCGAAATGCAGGCCTCCCTGAAGGCACTGCCTGTCTTTTTCTCTTGTCTTGGGCCACCCACGATTACCTCTGTGGCCCACCAGATGATGCGCATCGGATATTTTTCATTTACACCGACGTGAGCTTGGCGGCGTTAGCAGCAAGTGCGAGACCCCTCTGGTGAGTCTATAAAGTATTCCTGCTCTGTCACGAGTCTGATTCTGGCCACTCAGTATTAAGGTGGGCACACAGCTACCTTACAGACCTTCTTCATGTTACACATGAATAACACAGTGGGAAGAAAACGTCACTTAAAGGAAAACTATGTCCCCAAATTAGGACTTGCATCTCCAGTAATGAGAAGTTGTTTAAAATGTACAGCTGAGCGCTTTGAGACTCCTCACTGCTCTGCTTTGTCTTGTCTGTGCGCACAGATCTGCCAGCCCATTTCGGCAAACAATGTCCTCTCTGTCAGAATCGGGAACCAGCCATATCACAAAACCCCTCCAATGTCCAGCCTCCATCCCACCAATCCCCTCCCGAGAGGACAGCCAGGAGGAGGGGGAACTGCCCCCGTCCCATCTAAACTCGCCTTCCAGTAAGCCTGAGACCCAGTCATGTCAACTGCACATCAACTGCCAAACAGGGAAAGTGGGCAAGTTTCTTGTCTTTTAAATCGGAGCATATATTTTTGCATCTCTGTGTGTGTGCAGAGATAGATTTACCAGGAGGAAGGAGGCGTTTCATCAGATAGAGTTCAGGGCTGAGCAGAAGCAGCTTTTAGCTCCAGACTGAGTAGCCCCAGGGGGATGTCACAGAAATGACACAGCAATTTGTGCTAGAATATTGGCAGCTAATTCCCGAATGCTGGAGCTGACTCTGAATTCAGCTGCTTCTGTTCAGCCTTTATTCCCGCTGAGCTCATGATTCATAAAGGAAGCGCCTGCAGTTACTTCTCTGAAACATACAGTGTGACATGGACAGACTTCACTTTGGTGCATCTGCCTGTCTGCCTCTCTCTCTCTCTCTCTCTCTCTCTCTCTCTCACACACACACACACACACACACACACACACACCTCCCCCTCCCCCCAAAAGAGGCATTAAAATATGATCTTCCAAAACAGAAACTTCGTGGGGCATTGACTGCCGACCAATGAAAAGTATTCTCATTAAAGAAGAATACAAATCTCTTTCAGATCTTTCATATTTGCAAGTCTTAGTTAGTGTAAAATATTACAATTCCTGTTTTTCCTCCTGGGACATGACCACAGCATATATTTTATCTTAACCTCTAGAGTCACTCCACTCTTGGTTCACAGAAGATGAAATGCTTTTTATAATCAAACCACACTGGTTTTGTTTTCATGAATATCTGAGAAAGCTTCCCCCCCTTTCTCCTCTTTCCCACAGGCTTTCAGTCCAGCTCAGCGAGCGCCCAGATTCTGACGGTATTCTCCTGGTAACAGCGCAGGGCACCCCGACAGCTCGGCTTTCTTCCCTCGCTCTGTCTTGCTCTCCCCCACTCCTGGTTCCTACTAGACTAAACAACAGAGCCTTTGTGCGTTCCCACTGCAACCGGCCAATTCTAACCATGTGCCCCTTATTGGTGCAAATGTAATATTTACCTTGGAGAAAACTTTGTCCAAATAACTGCTGACAATTCTGCAGATGTTGTCCCTCTGAAATGTTGCAGTGAGAGTTCTCTCTTCCTTCTTGGCCTACAACCGAAGAGGAAGAAAGTTAGAAAAAACAACGCAGATGGATAAAGACTGTGAAAGACACTTGTCCCGCTCATTGTAAAAACCCTAGCAAACGTACACCAAATGCCGAGCTTTCTATTCCTTCCTGCAAAGTCGAAGAGAAACTGCTGAGAGTAGTGAATAAATCAAAAGATGTTTTTCCAAAATAACAGCCAAAGCAGTCTCATCAAATATATGTCAATCATTTGCTCCCTCCATACATTTCCTAGTTTTATGACCTAGAAATCTATGTACTGTTGTAGCACTATCAAAATTCAAGTGACTGTTATCTGAATCTGAAGCGAGTATGCTTTTTGCTGTTGGGTAGGGCGAGCTGAGGTTTCATTGTGAAAAGGAGAGTCTTGGGTGCAGTGTGAGCAGTGGGACCCGAAGGACGCACATCTCCTAGGTGCATGGATGAGTTGTTCCTTCATCCATTGCCCTGAGGGAATGGGGAGGATGAGAGCAAGGGGAGAGATGCAGGGATGTCTTCCCTTCATCTCCCTGCTGACTCGTTGGTACCCCTGTCCCACACCGTCACCTGTGGCTCTGCTCTATTTTTGGGGCCCAGCCTTTGCTCCATTCCTCTTTCCTCTCTAGTTCTCGTCCTGTTCTCTAATAAATATGTCTTGCATTGAACCTCTGTTTTAGGTAAGACACCATGATAAGTGCCATGTGACAGAAAGGAGGGAACAGGGGTGGGATGAATGAATGAATGAGTACATTTATATTCTAAGGAGAACACCCTGGCTGTTGACTAAGGTTCAGAACTTCCCAATTATTTTAACAGACTGAGGTACAACTCCTGATTTGCAATATAAAAAACCAAGCAGCTCATAAGGTTTCTAGACGTGCATCTATGATGTTCTGCTCCTAAGACCACAGATGATCATCCTAGACCGAGTGCTACCTTCTCCAGGGTCAGCAGTATGCACATTGTCTTGAGATACCTCTACTGTTTCCCTGACAGTTACCACGTGAGAAATGGCTGCCTTCTGTTGGTCGATGCATTCAACTACATTATCATTTCCCCTTTTTGTTTTCGATAACGCTAAAAATATCAGAACAAGACACAACTCCAGGTCTTTCCACCATCGGTCATGCAAACTAAGAGGGCAGGGTCTTCATTGGAAAGACACAAGCCTTTCCCAAGCCGTCTTTCACTCTTTCATTAGATTTCAAATCAATCTCCTCCTGAACCCTGGCCACACAGAGGTACTGAGAGGTGGATTCCAACTCAAACCTGTCTACTTCCCCATGTCATCATGATCAGCTCCAGGGAACTCTCTTGAATTCATTAGAAAGATGAACACGATTTTGTTATCTAAATAAAATCGCTGCAGTAGAAAAATAAAATAAACAAACTTTAAAATGCCAAATCTATGACTAGTGCACTGCTGGTGGGAATGCAGACTGGTGCAGCCACTATGGAAAACAATGTGGTGTTACCTCAAAAAATTAAAAATTGACCTGCCATTTGACCCAGTGATCCCACTACTAGGAATATACCCTAAGAAGCCTGAAACACTAATCAGAAACAATATATGTACCCCCATGTTCATAGCAGCACTATTTATAATAGCTAAGATTTGGAAACAGCCCAAGTGTCCATCAGTAGACGAATGGATAAAAAAGCAGTGGTATATATACACAATGGAGTACTATGCAGCTGTAAGAAAGAAAGATCTCTTATCCTTTGAGATGACATGGAGGGACCTGAAAAGTATCATCCTAAGTGAAGCAAGCCAAGCAGAAAAAGACAAATACCACATGATCTCACTTATATACGGAATATAATGAACATAACAGTCTGAGGAATAGGGTAGACCCAGAAACACGGAAGTAGGGTACAGACTGACAACCCTCAGAAGAAGGGGTGGTGGGGGGGTGGGAAGAGATAAACCACAGAACTTATATGCATGTATGCATAACCAATGGACATGGACAACAAAGCCGGGGACGGGGCGGGGGGGATGGGGAGGAGGGTGTCAATGGGGTAAAAAAGGAGAAACATCTGTAACAAAAATAAAATTAAAAACAAAACAAAACAAAACAAAAAAAAGTTAAAAAATATTAAACATTTCAAATGAAAAAAACTGTAAGAACTTTTGAAAGGCATAAAAAGATGACTTGAATAAATCAAAAGACGTCTTCTTAAAAAAATGCCAAATCTTATTAATATGCATTAGAAATAATATGTTTGCATATGCTTTTGCTATTACTAGATAGGATTTAAGAACTGAACACATGACATGACAGTTAATTTAATGACATAAAAGTGGTATGTAATTTTGCATTTTCAAAATTGCATTTCATGAATGAAAATATTCGAAGAAAACAAGGTAGTGAAGACAGTGTGGTACTGGCATAGAACAGACATACAGATCAATAGAATGAAATTTCATTTCTAAAAATAAGCCCATATACCTACAGCCAATTGATTTTTGACAAAGGTGACAAGACTATTCAATGAGCAAACCTTCTTTTCAACAGAAGGTTCTGGAATAAGGTTCTTCTGCCACTTGCAAAAAAATGAATTTGGAGTCTTAACTTCATATGAAAAAGTTATATAAAAGTGAGATAAATTTGAGAACATTTATTTACAAAGGTATATGCACCCCTATCTCCAATGCAGCATCATTCATGTTGGTCAAGACATGAAAACAACCAAGGTATTCTTCGATGGATGATTGGATAAAGAAGATGTGGTACATGCCTGCTATGACTAGTCAGTCATAAGAAAAGATGAAACACTGTCATTTGCGACAACATGGCTAGATCTTGCGAATATCATCCTAAGCAAAATAAGTCAGACAGAAAAAGTCAAGAACTATATAATTTCACTCACATGTGGGATATAAAACTGAAAGTCATGGACACAGACAACAGTATGGTTTTGGAGTTTCAGACATGACACCAAAAGCACAAGCAACAAAAGAAAAAAAATGAATATGTTGAACTTTATCAAAGTAAAAAAGATGTTTTAAAGGACACTGTTAAAAAAATGAAAAGACAAAGTAAATAATGGGAAAATATAAGCAAATCATGCCTGATGAAGACCATTTATCTGTAATGTATAAAGAACTCTTATAACTCAATAATAAGACAAATCCAACCAAAGGTAGGTAAGCAAAGGACCTGAACAGACATTTCTCCAAATATACAATGGTAAATAAGTACATGAAAAGATGCTCAGCATCATGAGTCATGAAGGAAATGCAGATCAAAATCACAATGAAACACCACTTCATACCCACTAGGATGGCTTAATCAAAGGGCCTAAGATAGTAACAAGGTTGGCAAGGGTGTGGAGAAGCCAGAAGCCTCCTACCCTGCTGATGGGAATGTGAAGTGATCCAGCCACTTTGAAAACACCCTGGTTGTTCCTCAAACAGTTCAACATAGGAGTTACCTTTGGACCCAGTATTTCTACCCCTAGGTGTATACCAAAAGAAATAAAAACATGTTCACACAAAAACTTGTACATGGATTTTGTAGCAGCAATATTCCTAACAGTCCCAAAGTAAACAATACAAATGTCCATCAACTGGGGAATGAATAAGCAAAATGTGATATATCCATATAAAAGAGTAACATTTGGTCATAAAATGAAATGAAACATTCATACATGTCATAATATGAACAAACCTTGAAAACATGCTGAGTGAAAGAAGCTACTTGCAAAAACTCCCCACACAGTATATGATTATATTTACCTGAAATGTCCAAAATTGGCAAATACACAGAGACAGAAAGTGGACTAGTGGTTGCCTAGGACTGGGGGAGATGAGGATGATAGCTAAGGGGTGCAGGGTTCCTTTTTTTCCCAATCCTCACCCAAGGATATTTTACTATTTATCTTCAGATAGAATGGGAGGGAGAGAGAGAGGGAGAGAGAAAAACATCGACATGAGAGGGACACATCGACTGGTTGCCTCCCGCAGGACCCTGACCAGGGCCAGGGATGAACCACAACCGAGGTACGTGCCCTTGGTTGGAATTGAGCCTGCAACTCATTGGTCTTTGGGCCAATGCTCTAACCACTGAACCAAACTGGCCAGAGTGAAGGTTTCTTTTTGAGGTAATGAACATGTCCTAAAATTGATTGTGGTGATGGTTGCATCACTCTTTGAATATACTACAAAACATTAAATTGTATACTTTAAAAGGGTGAATTGTATGGTATGTGAATTAGAGCTTAATAAAGCAGCTACCAAGAAAATATTCCATGGCATGTGAACACCTTAGTGTCCATCATTAAGCAGATCACTCTCAGAGAAAGAGGGCAAACCCATGTGTGATTTTAGCTGGAAACTCTGGGGTCATTGCGTGGACTCAGGACCGCCGGGCTTCATCGCAAACTGTCGTGTTCTGACAGAGACCACCTGGATATAACTTTGTATGGACCATGTGCTCCTTCAGGTCCCCTTTCACCCATGACCACCCATCTTTAAGTGTGGACAGCAGCCAGTTACTACAAACAATTATTTGATCCAGTCAAATAGAAATGCTCTGCTTTCGATGTTGATTTCTTCCTCTACTGAATGGAACGTAGGACTTCTGAAACCAGCTGTCTACTCAAACATGACTGGCCCCCGCTGCAGATCCTACACCAGTGGGATGCCAAGCTCAGCTCTGTTTTGTTTTTTTGTTTTATTTTTTAAACCTATTTTTTTGACTGACAGTTTTCATGAGTATGGTTAGCAGGTTCTTAACACAGAAGATGACACTGATAAGGAGGCTCAAACAAGTGAACTCTGATCATTCATGATGCATTTTGCCAACTAACATGAAGCCTTGTTCTAGTGAAAGCCACTCAGAGGAACTGAAATAGAGTTCAATTTCTCGGTCACTGGGCCCCCGAGGCATGGGTTATGCACCTAACAGATGGCCTAGCCCAAGCTCCAGCTGGCGTGGTTGAGGACAGGCCGGGAGGGGAGTGCTGTTTCAAAGTTGGGCGTTACCATCCCTTCTGGGGA